AGCATTAGTTCCAATATAACCACTTTCTATGCCCAAATGATAGTAGTGACCCATTATATTTTTTATCATTAAAACTGTATTTCACACTATCACGGTTAAACTTTGCAGATAATCTGTGGTTTACCTGTGTGCTGTACTATTGGTTCAGGGGATCCGTATGGATCACAGATCAAATGCGGTCTGTTACGCTGCTAGTATGTTTGTAGAATTTCTGCTAATTTTGTAGTGTTCAGTTAGATAAACATTTATTGTACTGTAGGTGCTTGATATTTGTTCTGTTAAATCAGACGCTCAAGCTCAAGGAATAGAAACAGGGTTCAGTCGAAACAACGATAGCGCAGCAATTTTTTTCTGCCTTGCCAGCTAATGTTAGCTGACTAGACAAATCCAGCCAACAACCCTGTTTTATCCTAAATCAACGGAAAAGGTAAGAAGCAGGCCTGGAGTGGCTTCTTTTTGAGTGAACAATGAAGATGATTATGTTCTGCACACAGTATATTATTGTGAGTGCACAAGAACTTTGCCAAACTTTAAAGCAGGGTTATTCAAATCACGGTCCTCGAGGTCCGAGCACTGCTGGTTTTCCAGCCTTCCTTTACCTGTCAGTCAGGTGTGAAGCAACAAGGCATCCAGTGCAATGTTTTTCAATGGCATGAAGGTGTGAAGTAATTTTAGTAATAAGTAATCTTAGAACAAATTTTGTTTTCTCTGCTGTAACTAAATTGCATTAAACCCTGAATCCAAAACAGAGGTTTGTACTAAACTATGAATATTGTGTAGCAATGCTAAATGTGAAAAATTGTGAAAAAAGGGGTTATTTAGTTTACATATCCACTTCATCTTCTCTTTCTCGTCACATGGAAAGCGATAGAAGGATGGCATCTATAGCATAAGAAATGTGTGCAAAAACATAATGTCCTCTACAGAAGTCAAATGGGAGTACTGATAGTTCTCGCTTTCTGAGCTCCCAATTTACGAGTTCATATCTTTAGGAGAATTTTCTGTGGCAAAAATTTAAATCTCAATTTTCATTAGTGCTGTCCCAAACGATTATTCTTTTAACGATTAATCTACAGATTATTTTTTCGACTTTTTGACTAATGGGGTAGCGTGTGGCTCAGTGGGCTAAGCCTGTGTGCTTGTAATCACAAGGTCATTAGTTCAAACCCAACCTCAGCATGTCTGTGGCTGCTTTAAATGAGGCCCTTAACCCCCAGCTTCCTGGGCACCCCAACAGGTGGCTGCCCTTCACAGACAGTTGAGGGAGGCATAAAAAGAATTTCCCCACAGGGACAATAAAGGATCAATTATTATTATAATCTAACAACTAATTTTTCAATTGATCTGATATTGATAAGCAATTATTTTCAAGTTAGTCATTTAATACAACAATTCACCCCCTCCCACACACACACAAATCTGAAATTCTCATCCATCCATCCATCCACCCATTATCTCCCACTTATCCGAGGTTGCGGGGGCAGCAGTCTCAGCAGGGAAACCCAGACTTCCCTCTCCCCGGCCACTTCATCCAGCTCCTCTGGGGGAATCCCGAGGCATTCCCAGGCCAGCCGAGAGACAT